CAGCAGCTCGCAGCCCTCGAAAGGCGGCTGGTCGCCAAGACAAGTAGCTGGGCAGGACGTCCATCTGCAATATTTAGGGAATTCAAATCAATCGTTTAAATTATTCCAGCAATACTTCATCTTCCTCTCCAAAAGTGAGTGAAAAGGATCACAAGTTCAGTCATACTTATGTAATATGGCTGTGAATATCCTATGACTTACTGCCCGGCTCCTGCTATTTTTACAGGGTTAATAGCTTAGGGGAAAAAAAAATGCTTAGCTTGGTGAAATGTATTTCTTTTTGCAAAGGAAGGACAATGTTCTTCCAGTTCTGGAAGTATTCTTGCGAAAGCTATTTCTTCTCTGAAGAGTCTTTTATTAACATTATGGGCTTATGTTCATAGGCTTGTACTGTCATTAAGGGGCGCTGATTTAAATGAGGGGTTCTAATCAACAATTTTCATCATGATTTAAATCACCTAGAAGGAAACACAAAATTGATTATTTAAATTAATCTTGTTCATCATTTGTACTTTTTAATTATTTTCCTAAGGAACAACTGGAGCTTCCTCACTGGAGACTAGTGCTCTTTTTAAATTTATGATCAGGATATGCTGTTATCGTATTTATTTAAGAATCTGGATGTTATGTCTAAAGTTACTTAACATTTTTCATTTTATGTGCCAAACTGATGACTGATGCCTCTACTACATGACTAATTTTAATGTTAATTTGTGTCAAGGTGCATTGCAGAGCAGAGTAAGAAACATATATTAGTTACTGTGCTCTAATTTAAATCACGTAGTAATTTAAATATAATGGACAGATGGGGTAAGGGGAAGAATACAGTTATCAGAACTTACTCTGCGTTTGAAATAGACATTCTGAACACAGGAAATACTACCTCTTGACAGCAGACTGCATTATTTCTAATCACCACATCCTTAGGAAGAGTCATACAGGGGAAAGTGCGATCGCCTGTTTGCTCTTTCTCTTCAATCCCCAATGGTTTTCCCAAATTTGAGTGAACTGAGGGGAAGAACATCTTTCTGTGTATCCTGAGCAGAAACAGGTCTGCATGTAAGGGACTTAGAGTCTCAAGAACCCCCTGATCCAGGTGGTTCAGCAAATACTTCAATCACTGCCATGCCTTGACTTCATCTAAAATTTGTAGGGCTTTATTTCTATTTATTATAATATTACAGTGAAATTTAGGCCATTGATTCCGTTTTAATTTAAAATTAATGATTTTTTTAAAAATAATGTAGATAAATTAAAAAAAAATACTTCTAGGGAAAAGAACGTTTTGCATTTTCCATCCTTCTTTCATTTGCATTAACTCTCGCTCAGTGCAGCTGCAATGAGTTGAGGGTCTGTGTTTCTGATCCATACCATCACGTGTAAGAATAAGCCAAAAGCAAAATGAACCTTTTTTTGAAAAGTTTTGGGGCATGTACATACATATACACATCTATTTTTCAGATTGCAGGAATTAAATAGACAAGTTCATCCTTCGGGTAGTTCAGTCGACTTTATTGGAGAAACTAATGCCCAAGTTAGATATCTGTTTTCTTGTTGGCTTCAACCATCATGACAGAGTCCGGAGCTCGCTGGGGGTACACGGGATGGGATTTTCCAACGCTGCTGGGTGCGTCCACCTCCCTTCAGTGTGAGTCTCAGCAGGTTCACGCCAGTGAACGTCCCTGCCACCCCTTCCCCCAGCGCCACGCGGGATGCCGGGGGATTACCGCTACCTCCCTCCCTCAGCACTTGCGATGGTGCAGCGCCTCTCTCCCAGCGCTGCAGTTTATCAGTCGTCAGCCCATTTTGCCAATTCACTGAGACAATTTCCTCCAAAATCACACTCGAGACTGAAGACAAAACAGCAAAGGCTTGATTTCTTTTATTTCCCCTGACAGAAGCCGTATGTACCACGCCAAGATGTGACACGCAACACCTTGCATTACAGACACACGTCATTCATGCAGACTCAGAGCAGGGAAACCTTCCCTGCCTCGTCCCACGTTATTTCTAGTCTGATGTGCCAGGGAAAGGCTTCAGCTTTGCAGTGAAGTCTAAGCCCAAGTTGTTGGGTTTGGTTTTATTTATTTTTTTTTTTTCTTTAAGTTAAAGTTTTAGCCTGTTCTTGTGATTTTTTGTGGAAGTTTCTTTTTCTGCCAGAGCAGGTGCTTTGCCATCACAGCAAACACCAAAACCCACATGCTGTCAAGACCAAAGGGAACTTGTTTCATCTCACAGCATTAGGTAGAGCAGTGACTGAGGGGAAAGTAAAGAAAATAAGGTGGAAGCAAATATTATGGGTAATGGAAGAGCACATTTCTGATGGATTTCTTTGTTGTCATTGTTAATGTAGGTGTTTTCGTACACACAGAAACTTGTTGAGACCTGGGGTGAGCGCCTGAGTGCCATGAGAGCCTCAGTTTTTGCACCTCCCTCTGCCCATCCCAGCAAGGCTGCCCCACGCAGCTCCAATGCAGACCCTTATCTTCAAGCTGTTCCTGGCAGATCCTCTCTGCTCCTGCCACATGAGTGCGTTTTAATGCAGATGTGCATCAAAGAAACTAGAAACGACATTTAATTTGACATCGTTAAGTATGAGCTCGCCCCTCTCCCATGCAGGGCTGTTATCAGTGAAACCAGCTTCGGATCTTTTCTTTCCAGGGATCTTCTGCTGCAGGTGGCTCTAAAAAGCCCTTTTCTGTCTGTGTTTGGTGTTTCCTGGCAGAGCTGGTTTATGGTCATCCATAAGAACACACCACCATCTCCCTCCCGATTTAGCATGTGGAAGGACCAATACGTACCTTTATTAAAGGCAACCTTAATCTTCCTTGTGGAACGTTACATAAAAAGGTAGGCTTAGAGCAGCTTTCAGAGACAGTCACAAATTGCTGGTGGTAATACACCCAAATTACACGGGATATACGGGGTTTGGCTGTTGTACTTCTCCGATTGCTTCCTTCCGTTGCTCGCCTTAAGCAGATTTGTTCCCAGCCCCTGGCCATTGCTCGGGGAGAGCTTACGGGTAACAAAACATGCCAGCACAGTTCTTTGTATAAAATATTTTAATATATATATAAAAAATAACTGAGGTCCAAGTGCAGAAGGAAGTGGGTGAGTGGATGCATGGGCATGTGGGTGGATGAGTATATGGGTGGGCGTGTGGGTGGATGGGTGGATGAGATGGGGTGTGGATGGGAGCATGGATTGGTGCACAGGCGAGTGGCTGGGTGCATAAACTGGGGTGCAGGTGGCTGGATATATGGGAGCATGGGTTGGTGCGTGCATGGGTGGGTGATATGGGGGTGTATGAGTACATGGGTGGGTGCATGGGTGCATTGGTTGGTACAGGTGTGGATGGATGGATGGGTCGGTGCATCGAAACTGTGCTAGGGCACATGGAAAACAACAGAGGGGATTGGGGCCAGCCAACATGGCTTCACTAAGGGCAAGTTGTGTCTGACCAATTTGGTGGCCTTCTACAACGGGGTTACAGCGCTGGTGGGTAAGGGAAGAGCAACTGACATCATCTACCTGGACTTAGGCAAAGCATTTGACACTGTTCCATACAACATCCTTGTCTCTAAATTGGAAAGACATGGATTTGGTGGATGGACCGCTCGGTGGATAAGGAATCGGCTCAGTGGTCACACTCAAAGATTTAAGGTCAACGGCTCGATGTCCAAGTGGAGAGCAGTGACAAGTTGGTGTTGGGACCAACACAGTTTAACGTCTTTGTTGACGACATGGACAGTGGGATCGAGTGCACCCTCAGCAAGCTGACCCACGACCCCGAGCTGTGTGGTGCAGCTGACACGCGGGAGGGCAGGGGTGGCATCCAGAGGGACCTGGGCAGGCTGGAGAGGGGGGCCCGGGCAAACCTCATGGAGTTCAACAAGGCCAAGGGCAAGTCCTGCCCGTGGGTCGGGGCAATCCCCAGCACAGATCCAGGCTGGGAGAGGAGTGGATGGAGAGCAGCCCTGCGGAGAAGGACTCGGGAATATTAGTGGATGAAAAACTGACCGTGAGCCAGCAATGTGTGCTCATAGCCCAAAAAGCCAACCATGTCTTGGGCTGCAGCCAGAGCAGGGGGGGCAGCAGGGCCAGGGAGGGGATTCTCCCCCTCTGCTCCGCTCTTGTGATAACCCCCCTGCAGTGCTGGGGCCAGCTCGGGGGCCCCCAACAGCAGAAGGACCCGGAGCTGCTCGAGCGGGGCCAGAGGAGGCCACGGAGATGCTGGGGGGGCTGGAGCAGCTCCCCTGGGGGGCCGGGCTGAGAGAGTTGGGGGGGTTCAGCCTGGAGAAGAGAAGGCTCCGGGGGGACCTTCGAGCGGCCTCCCAGGGCTTAAAGGGGGGGCAGGGGAGGTGGGGGGGGACTGTTGGTCAGGGGGTGTGAGGGTAGGATGAGGGTAACCGTTTTAAACTGAAAGAGGGTGGATTTGGGTGAGCTCTAAGGCAGAAATCCTTCCCTGTGCGGGGGGTGAGGCGCTGGCCCAGGGTGCCCAGAGCAGCTGTGGGTGCCCCCTCCCTGGAAGGGTTCCAGGCCAGGTTGGACGGGGCTGGGAGCCCCCTGGGCTGGGGGAAGGGGGCCCTGCCCGGGGCAGGGGGGGGCACTGGAGGGGCTTTAAGGTCCCTTCCAACCCAAACCATTCTGTGGCTCTGTGGGCGGGTGGGCGGGTGGGTGGGTGCACTGGCTGGCGCATACACGCGTGGGTGGGTGGGTGCAGGGTTCGGGGGGTGTGTGTGCGTGTGGGGGGGCGGCGGGACAGACGGACAAAGCCTCCCGACAGATGCCGAGGGCCGGCGCGCGCTCCCTCTCCTCACGCGCCGCCCCCCCCCCCCCCAACGCATCGCGAGCAGCGCGCGCGGGCCCCGCGCGGGGCGGGGCGGGGCGGTGCTGCCGGTGCGGGGGGCGGGGCCGCGCCCCGCCCGGGCTCGGCGCGCGGCGGCGGCGGCACCTGCGGGGCTGAGGGGCGCGGGGCTGAGGGGCGGCGGCCCGGATGTAGCCGGCGCGGGAACATGGCGCTGGGGGCGGCGTGACGGCGGCGGCCGCCGAGGTAGGGGCGGCGGAGCGGGGCGCGGCGGCTGCCGAGGCGGGGTGAGGGGGGGGGGACGCGGGCAGAGGCTCGACCTTGCGGGGCCGCGGGCGGGCGGGCGGGCGCGGCGCTCCCCGGAGCAGCCGGTGCCCGCCTCGGCGGGGCGGGAGACAAAGGCCCGGCCCGGCCCGGGCATCCCCTTCGGCACCTGTGCGGGGCGCGGGGGGGGCTGGCGCCGGGAGAGCCGCGGGCTCCCGGGCTGCTCTGCGGGGAGCCTTCCCGAGGGTCGGCGTAGGTGATTCTGCTTTAAATACCTTGCCGGGGTTTCCCCCAGCAGTGCTTTTTTTTTTTTTTTTTTACAAAAAAAAAAAAAGAAAAAAAAAATTTTGATTTTTGTCAGGTTTTTTTTTTTCCAGGAGAAGTTGCTCCCAACTTTCTGTGAATATCATGTGCTTTTGGGTTTCACCCAGAAAACAGGTACCCAGAGAGATGTACAGCCGCTCCTGGAAATGCTCCTGTATACATCTGCTTGCTCTTTTTTTGCCTCTAAAGGGTTAGAAATGCCTGCGATCGACTCCGTTCTTAGCCTCAGATCATCCTAGCTAAAGAAAATGAGCGGCACAGTGACAGCCGTGCTTGAATAACGCTCGAGCCTCAGACCAGAGGAGAGGTGCTTTTTTTCTTGGTATCGATCAGACCTTGAGAATTTCTTACCAACCTACCAGCAGCTCGCAGGCTGCCTTTCTTCCTCTTTGTTACACACCAGCTGTCTGTTAACATAAAGAAACAATGGAATTTTTTTTTTTTTTTTTTTATTCCCAAATAATCAGTGTTAGACCAAATGGGCTGTCATTGCCATTAAAGATTCCCACCAACTCAGGAGGGGCCGGCAGTGAGACCACCCTGCTGGTAGCCATTCTGTTCATTTTATAATTTTTTTTTTAGACGCTTTAGCATTTGTGAGATGAGGGAGGAGAGTTGGTACCTATGTCGAGACAGATCTCTCTGGTCTCTGTTGCCCAGACAGCACTTAGGGAATCATCGCTCCTAATTTATTCCCTTTATTGTACCGCAAAACTTTAAATAACGCTGCTTAGGACTAAAGTAGGGAGCCAGGCTCCCCTGCCCTGCCGGAAAGCCGGGATTGATGGCTGTGAGTATCGCTGCTGCTGTTGGGGACGGACCTCTTGTTGCGTGGAGGATGCATCTGGAGGCGTTGGGGAATGGCTTGGGCTTGTCTGCTGTGGGTGCTGTTTCCAGTGCGGAGGGTGGGCTTGGGGTCACTTGTGGGGCTCCCTGGCCACCAGTGCCCCCCCGGGAGCGAGGTTGAGCAGAACCTGTGGAAGCTTTCCTGTTTCGATTTGAGGCTCACAAAATGGCCCTTTGCTTTGCTCGTGCCTTCCTGCTGAAGCGGTGCTGTTCGTGCTGCAGGGTGGTCAGCAGCGTGTTGATCCCCCCACGGTGAGCAGCTGCTCTCCGGGTTTGCGGGTGGGGATGGAGGGACCCTGCAGCACGGGGCCGGAGCTGCTGCTGCGCCGGGTGAAGCTTTGGGAGTTACTCCTTGCGGTTTGGCTGACTGGCTGTTTATGTGGTTTAGTCAAGGTTTTTTGGTGGTAGCTCGTTTCAGATTGATGGAAGGTCTTTGTTCAGTGCGGAATTACATTTTTGTGCTGTCAAACATATTAACTGGAGATAAACTGAGTTAAAAAATGGTTTTAACTGGGGAAAAGACTCACGCTTACGTTGGGAGTGCTGACACTAAACTTTATTCTTTCTCCTGCTTCCAGCAGTTTTACAAATCCAGGTGAAACTGCGCTTTCTAGCAGAGTTTAATTTTCATCATAAGATTTCTGACCAGTCTGCCATAATCCTGTGTCCCCTTTCTGCAGAAAGTCCATGTGCTATTACTTGCTTTTGCAGTTTTTAACCTTATTCTAAGGAAATGAGGGCTGCCTAGTCACTGTGTGCGTGCGTGCCATTCAGCTGTAGAGACTGTTGAACTGCACTTAACAGAGGGGCTCAGAGTACTTATTTCTGGGCAGAGAAGCACTGGCACAGAGAGGAAGCCATGACAATCCTGTTGCGGAGAACCCTGTTACAAGTCATCAGTGACTCCCCTTGGTGATCCCCTGCAGAGCCAGACTCAGCAAATCCCTTTGCTCTTTCAGTTCCCTTCTTAGTTTGGCACCCCTGTTTGCTTCCCAGTGACTTATTTTTTTGGACAACTTAATCACAAATACTCGGAGTAGGTGAGTATTTGGCTTCAGTGAAATCTCAGCATCATGATGGCTGATTCTAAAATGGAAATGTGTAACAAGCAAATTTCTTGTAAAGTGTTGGGGAAAATGACTGCACAACTATTAGTTGGGAAATACAAAACTAGTGTCAATTCCTGCTGTCAGTCAGCCAAGAACAAACTTCTCACTGTGCTAGATAACAACAGTTATGAGTTTTGCCTTATCTCACCAGCATGACCCCTGACTCTAGATATGGTACTGAAATAGGGGAGGCAAACTTCTTTTTGACATTAGTTGGGGCATGACATTTGGGTTCAAAGCTGAGTTCAATGAGGACTCCAGCTCATGTGGCTGAAGCCTGAGAGGTGACACTGGCACAGATCTGTCAGGAGGGTACTGTGCTGTTTCAGGGAGGTATGGAAAAAAGAACAGAAAAAACGGAGCAGAAGAGCACCTGCATTTCTGATCACCTTCACATTTGATACTTAAATCCAATTACTGCTTTGAAGCTGCTCCAGTTAAGACTCTGAAGTGTTTGGTGTCTACTTGTTCAAATACATAAATTCACTCCAGTTTTACCAGTTTACTTTGCAAAAGCTACAGACAGAAGTCTGCCGTGCGGCGTGCATTGAAACTGCTAACAGGTGTTTGTGGGTACCAACAGCTGAAGAGTTTCTGAAATGCGCATAAAGCTCAAACAAAAAACCTCTTGCTAACATACCTGCTTGGGATATCCTGCTGCTGATGTTGGTGTCTCTGACTCATGGTACTGTTTGGCCCTTCTGGCGGAGTTTCTGAGGCTGTCGGCTCTTTTCTTCTTCTTGAAGTCAGTGGAGTTGGTCTGTTGGGTCTGCTGCAGGGTTTGGCCAGGTTTCCCCGGGTTTTTGTGAAAGCTGAGCAAACCCTCTGCCAACGGGGTGGGATGGTCAGTGGCTGCAGCCAGATAAAACCAGAAACACCACGATGGAAAGTTGACATGGTTGATACCCCTCACACGCTCAGGGCAAACACTTTTTATCATCTTCTACTTTATTATTTTTTCCCATTAATTCTAATCTAGTAAACCATATGACCTTACTACTTTCAATAGCAATTTGAAGCATGAAAGGTGTTTTATACAACTATTTCCTCAAAAAATGGATGGTACAACCAAAGGCACCTCGGTTCCTATGACATCCTCCCTTGTAGCTTCTTTCGTGTCTGATATGGGTTTGTCTCTTGATTGGTAGGAGCTTCATAGGATATCTCCTTACTCTCCAGATATAAAGCTTGATATTTTTGAGACAACTTCCCGCCCATTAAAGTCAACTTCAGCTGCCGATGAGGTGTGTTTGAGCATCGTGTGATGCACAGCACAACTGCGTCAGCTTCATTCTCAAGGGAAAAGAGATGAAAACTGGAAAGTTTCGAAAGCATTAAAAGCTGCAGACAAAACTCCAGTTAGTTATGAGGTCATCTACCTCCCCCCCCCCCCCCCCCCCCGCACCATTTAGAGCAAATTTCAGTGTACTCTAATGATATTTAATGTTCAGGTAACTCTACTTAAGCCTTTAATCCATGAGGCCACAGGGATTCACCAAGGACTTGCTCTTGTGCTGGTGTTTCATCCTCCTGCCTGTCACCAAGCCCAGTGGGGCTGAGCACTGTGTTTGGATGGCTGTTTGGACCGCAACCAAGAAAACAAAATATTTTTCATCAAAATTAATGTTTACCTTTTTTTTTTTTTTTTTTTTTTTTTTTTTCCTGGGGAGAAACAACTTGGAGGGCAGGACTGTGGCCAGGGCTTCAGGTCTAAGACCTGCTGCAGCGCCTGGCTCTCGCGTGGTTCAGCCATGCCTGTGAAAGCAGCCGTCTTGCAGCCCTGGCACAAAATGTCAGCTTTGAGCCAAGTCTTGCGCCTTCAAAGTTCAAGGATTATCCCTTTCCATTTAGTGCCTGTGAGCGCAGTGACGCGAGAACAGCCTGCTCCTGTCGCATCATGCAGAGCCAGCCACGACACATGAAGCCAGCTATTTTGTGTCTTTTCCAACTTTTGATTTTTTTTTTTTCCCCCCCCTGGGCCATGTAAGAGTGCTACTGCTGTTGGAAGGTACATCTGGTGGAAGTACAAAGGTGATTACTTTTCAGAGCAGACAGAGCTTGAATATATTTTAAAATCAAACCAACAAAACAAAAATGTGTGAATCAATTTTAGCTCTTCCTTTATGGGCTGGGCTCCTGTTTCCTATTTCTGACTTTTCTTATTCCCTAGCAAAGCTCTTACTAAAACATGAGCTGTATATACCAATTAATATTTATATCTCACAAACCACCAAAATCGGGGTCTTAGTAGGCTTGGAGGCTATAAGGACATGCAGTAAGATGTGTTTACACCCTGGGTGGCTTATGGCACAAGGTGTACCCATCATCTTTGTGCCTATGCCAGGTGCCAGGTTGAGGATAGCCAAAACTTGCAGGAGAGGAGCAGCGTGACTTGCTCAGGGGCACACAGTGATGGAGAGCAAAAGAGAAATCCTGGCTCCCATCATTTTCCTTCTGGGCCATCCTGGCTTTTGCTCTGTGCGCCGGCTCTGCCGTTGGGCTTTGCTGCTAGCGAACGGCTCTGCCTGCAGCAGGACATGCTCCCCCGGTGTCACAGGGCTGGGAGCTTTGATTTTGCTTAACAAAAATGCTCTTCCAGTAATAGGTTAAGCCAAAGAATGTGGATGCCAAAAATAGCAATAGAGATTTTCCTTTTACCGACTGTGTTTTAGATTTATTGTTACCTGCTGGAGGCAGCTGAAAAAGTACTAGAGATACTGCAGCTATAGGCAAGGAAATAGTGGAAGTAGGCATACAGTCACCTCTGATGGAGGAAGACCACACGTGTCAGACATCACTGTGGAAATACACAATAATGCAAAATAACAATGTAAGTAAAAATGTGCAATGTCACTGAACCCTTCTCTTAGCAAAACTTTCATTGTTTTCCTAACAGTTAAGGTACCTCAGAAAGGGAAGCATGGAGAGATCCCTAGTGACAGAGGACAGAAGAAATGCCAACAAACAAAAACTGGAACAAATAAATGCCCCAAGAATGATCCTGGTAATAGCCCCTATAAACCTTTTATTGCAACATGCTCTGCTGCACGTGAATAATTCACTCTTCCCAAACTTGTAGCAGTAAAATCTGCACAGCAGCTTTCCCCCCTGCCTTCATACAGGTTGTTTAGGTGATAGTTGTTAAAATTTAAGATTTCT